GGCCCAGAGTTCAAGCCCCACGACCGACAAAAAAAAAAAAGAAGTTAGCAAATAAGAAAGTCTAAATTAAGAATTAAACACAGTAGTGTGATCTGAGGATCGTGGTTCAAAGCCAGCCTGGCAGAAAAGTCCCTGTGAGACTTTTTATCATGAATTAACCACTCAAAAGCCTTTAAATGGAGCTGTGGCTCAAAGTGGTAGAGTGCTATGCCTAAGCAACTCTGGGATAGTGCCCAGGCTCAGGATTCAAGCCCCACAAATGCCAAAAAAAAGAATTAAACATGGGGAGCTGGGCACCAGTGGTTCACACATGTAATCTTAGCTACTCAGGAGACTGACACCTGAGGATCAGAGTTTGAAGCGAGCACTGGCAGTAAAGTCTGTGAGACTTTTATCTCCACTAAGTTGCCAAAACGGTGGAAGTAAAGCAGTAGTTCAAGTGGTAGAGTGCTAGCCTTGAACAAAAAGGTCCGACAGAGCCCAGGCCTTGATTTCAAGCCCCAGGACTGCCATGGGCAATTAAGCCTGGAGTTCAAGCCCAAGCCCAAGCCCTGGTATACACACACACCACCACCAACACCACTAACAACAAAAACAGGGACACTAGGGGGGTGTAGCTCAGTGGTACGACACATGCTTATTATGCAAGAGGACCAAGGTCAATTCCCAGCACCTCACTTCATGTACCCAGTCTTTCTGGAATTTCATATGACAAAGAGATCCTAGGATGCCTACAGAAAATAGCAGATGAAGGGACCGTGGCTTAGTGGTAGAGTGCTTGCCTAGCATGCATGAAGCCCTGGGTTCAATTCCTCAGAATCATATAAATAGAAAAAGCTGGAAGCAGTGCTATGGCTCAAGTGGTAGAGTGCTAGCCTTGAGCTAAAGCAGCTCAGGGACAGTGCCCAGGCCCTGAGTTCAAGCTCTAAGACTGGCAAAAAACAAAAACAAAACCAAAACAAAACAAAAACAGATGAAAACAATCTCCTTTAGCCTCCTCAGTCACCAAATATCTGAATCAGCAGAATGATTGTCCTGGAGAATCCCCTACCCCTGAGATTTGCTACTTTGCTATATCACAGGCATTTCACTTCTGTAGGCCTGCATTTTCCTCCCTGTAAACTGTAATCTCTCAGAGAGAGTGTTCAGAGTGGTTTCAGCTTCTGTGAGGTCCCACTCTTTTAGGGCTAATAATCTATTTGTCATTCTGTTTTAGAAGGTAGGGGAGTTGAGACAGTGTCTTATGCAGCCCAGGCTAGACTGGAACTACAATCCTCCTGCCTCAGCCTCCCAAGTACCAGTGCTGGGTTTACAGGTGTACATCACCACGATAGGATTTTCTTTTTTCTGTCAGTTGTGGGGTTTGAACTCTAAGCCTGTGCTCTACCACTTTGAGCCACAGTACCACTTCCAGTTTTCTGGTAGGTAACTGGAGATAAGAGTATTGGGGGAGGGGGGAGCTGGGAAGGTGGCTCTGTGGTAGAGTGCTTGCCTTGCATAACTGAGGCCCTGGGTTTGATTCCTCAGCATCACATAAGCAGAAAAAGCCAGACAGTAGTGGTGCTGTGGCTCAAGTGGTAGAGCGCTGGCCTTGAACTGAATAGCTGAGGAAGAGTGCCCTGGCCCAGAGTTCAGGCTTAACTACCAGGGGAAAGAGGGGCTTTCCTGCCCAGCCTAGCTTTGAAACATGATCCTCAGATCTCAGCTTCCTGAGTAGCTAGGATTACAGGCATGAGCCACCAGTGCCCAGCCCTTTTCTATTTTTAAATAAAGGGAAAAGACTTTACTAGAGGAAGTTTGCCATCCCCAATATTCTACCTCTTTGAAGTGCTCCTTTCAAAGAATTCCTCCTGCAGTTGTTATCAAAATCAGGGCTGGGAAGGTGGCTCAGTGGTAGAGGGCTAGCCTTGAGCTGAAGAGCTGAGGGACAGTTCAGGCCCCACGACAGGACCCCCCCCCAAAAAAAATGCATTCACTACCCAGAGAAGCAGTTCGTGGTAATTACTTAAACATCATGTCCTCCTTTATTTTTTGTCAGAGACGGGGCTCAGTTTTGTACCAGATGCTTTGGTTCACTAGCTGGTGCTCTAGACCGACTGAGCCCAAGAAGTCACTTTCTCCTGGGCACTCCAAATTAAGAGTTCTTTTCAGCTTATTCTCTTGTAAGTCAAGAAGATTCTGTACACCTCTTTACCTTCTGTGGCCTTAGTTTCACTGACAAAATAAACAAGACTTTCCTCAAACTCCCGTTTTTGAAATAAAAAGTTCGACGCGTTTTGCACTCAAGACACACTCCCCACCAGGCTGGAATCCCGTCCCGTCCAGGGGCAAAAATCTCCTTGGTCAACTGATCAACGCTCACCTGCGAAAGACCAATCCGGGAGCTCCGTGAGGGGTCCGTATCCCGAAGGGTTGGCATCCAGCCCTTGCCTGGGGGAGAAAAACAGCCGAGTGAAGGCACGAGCGGCTCCCGGGCCCCTGCCCCGCCCCCGGCCCCGGGCTCTCCAGCAAGACACTCACTGGAGTCGCCACAGGCTCCCCGCCCGGGCCCACACGCCGCAGTGCAGCCTCCGGACACCTACTGGGGAAACAAGGCCTAATTAGAGGAGAGGCCACGCAGCCCAGGCTGGCGGTGCCGTCCGCGGGAGAACCCTGAGCCCCCCACCCACTCACTGGAAAGCAGAGTCCCCAAAGCAGCCATGCTGAAGCGGCGAGACCGGAAGTGGGCGGGTTTGCGCCCGCCGCGCCGAAGGGGGGGGGGAGGAAAGGAGGGAGGGAGGGGAGAAACCGGAAGCCGCCATCTTGAATCTGGTTTTCAATGACGGGCCCCGCCATCTTGGGTCATCTTGCGGAAGTGAGGAGAAATTGCCGGCCAGGGTTTGGGGGTGAGAAGGAACTGTCGTCCTGCGCATGCGTCCTCGGTGGGGCTTCTCAATGGAGGGCTTTTACAGTTGTGAAATCCCGGGCTGAATGAACTGTTCTGAAGTGTTCCCACAACCTCCCCTCTAAGTCTTGAAACTTACAGTGTGACTTCAGATCAGAGGAGTAACATCCACTTTGCCTCATTCTACCGCCTCCTGCACTTCTGATATTTTCCCCAGGTTAAGAGAACTGATCAAATGTGGAGCGAATCAGAGGATTTTGATTTCTGAGATCTCATTTATACAACAAAATTGAAGTTTTATATGACAAGTGCTGTAGTAGGTGCAAAAGCTTTTATGGAGAATAAAAAGAGATTTCATCACCATCCTGATAGAGTACTCTAGAGGGAGAAAGAAGACAGTCTACACATGAATTTAATATCACAGCTGAGTGCTGGGAAGAAAAGCATGTGTTATTTCTGAGCATATATATGTATATAATGGGAATATGACCTAGAGTATGCTGTCGAGAACTGTGAAGAACAAGTTATATTGAAGCTAAGAGCTGATTTCCTTTTTATAACAGCTACCATCCCACATTCCCTAACAATCCTTGCAGGACCCTATGAGGTAAGTACAAGTTAAGCAACCTTAATCTGAAAAGCTTCAAAATCAACCTTTTTGAGCACAGATATGCCACAAACAGAAAATTCTATATCTAATCTTGTGTGAATGATTGCTCTCAACAAACAGGTGAACTAAAAATAGTGTATGAAATTACCTTAAGGGACTGGTAATTATAACTCAGTGGTAGAGCTCTTCCCTACCATGCTCAAGCCCTAGGTTCATCCTCAATACAGTAAAACAAAACAAAACACCTTCAGGCTATGTGCATAAGATATATACAATATTTTTAATGTTTAGTATTGAGTCCTAACTGGGTGTTGGTGGCTCACTCCTAGAATCATAGCTACTCAAGTGGCTGGGATTTGATAATTGTGGTTTGAAGACAGCCCAGAGACTCTTTATCTCAAAGTAGCCAGCATAGGGCTGGGAAGGTGGCTGCATAGGGCTGGGAAGGTGGCTCAGTGGTAGAGTGCTTGCCTTGCGTGCATGAGGCCCAGGGTTTGATTCCTCAGCACCACATAAGCAGAAAAAAAAAGCCGGAAATGGCACTGTGGCCCAAGTGGTAGAGTGCTATCTTTGAGCTGAAGAGCTGAGGTACAGAGTCCAGGCCCAGAGTTCAGGGCCCACGATCCGACCAAAAAAAAAAAAAAGTAGCCAGCATAAAGCTGGAAGTGAGAGTGTGGCTCAAGTGGTAGAGCACCACCTTGAGCAAAAAAAGCTAAGCAAGAGAGAAAAGGAGGGAAAAGAAATGTATTCACTACCAGACCTGTGTAACTGTAACCCCTCCCTAATCATCTTTACAATAAAATTTTTTAAAAAAGAGAGAACAAAAGCCCTAAGTTTAAGTTCCAGTACTGGTGCGTGCGTGCACACACACACACACACACACACACACACAATTAGGTCCTCTCCTTAAGATACCTAATTATATATGTATACTCAAGTGTTTCAAAATTTGAAAAAAAATGGAGATACCTCTGATAGCAAGAATTTCAAATAAAGAATACTCAATCTGCCTGGGAATGTGGCTTAGTACTAGAGTGCTTGCCTAACATGCATAAAGCCCTGGGTCTGATTTCTGAATACCAAACACACAGAAAAAGCCAGAAATGGCACTGTGGCCTCATGTGGTAGAGTGCTAGCCTTGAGCATAAGAAGCTCAGGGACAGTGCCCAGGTCCTGAGTTCAAGCTCCAGAACTGTCACGTCACACACACACACACACACACACACACAGAGTTCTGTCAAGTAAGTGGCAAAGTCTTGGGGGGGGGGGAATTGATCATAGGGCTTAAACTCTGGGCATGGGGACTGTTCCCTCAGCTCTTCAGCTGAAGGTTAGCACTCTACCACTTGAGCCACAGTGCCACTTCCAATTTTCTGGTGGCCATAAGAGTCTCACGGACTTTCCTGCCCAGGCTGACTTTGAACTGAGATCCTCAGACCTCACCATCCTGAGTAGGTATGATTACAGACATGAGCCACTGGTGCCTGGTAGTCGGTGATTTTTTATTTTTTAAAATCAGTTGCTACTTAATACAACATTGTGAGGCTCCTTCCTTCCTTCCTTCCTTCCTTCCTTTCTTCCTCCCTCCTCTCCCTCCCCCCTTCCCCTTTTTTTCTCTCTCCCTCTCTCCCTCCCTTCTTTCCTTCTACAGGGTTTCCCTATGTATGCTATCCTCCTGTCTCAGCCACAGCTTTATACTTGATTCCTTAATTAATTTTTGCTTAATTAATTTTTACCAGTCCTAGGGCTTGAACTCAGGGCCTGGGTATTCTTCCTGAGCCTCTTTGTGCTAGTGATATACTTTAGCTACCATGCCACTTCTGGCTTTTTCTGAATAATTTATTGGAGATAAGAGTCTCACAGACTTTTCTTTTCTTTTTTTCCTCTCTTTCTCTTTTTTTTCTCACAGACTTTTCTGACTCTGATTTCGTTGAACCATGATCCTCAGATCTTAGCCTCCTGAATAGCTAGGATTATAGGCATGAGCCACTAGTGCCTGGCTCAATTCCTTAATTAAAACAAAAACACATTTGTGAAAATATTTTTTACATTTTGTGAAAATATTTTAAGGATGATAATGTAGTGAAAGTGCTTTATGAGGAAACTCTTGCAAAAGTATTCATTACTGTATTGCTGGGCTAGACATGTAAACACATGTTGACTGGGGAACCTGAAGTAAAATGGTCTATATCTGGAAATTTATCATTTCCTTCTGCAAGACTGGGACGTTTTCCTCAGGAGGTAGCTCATTTGTGCTTTGAAAGAGAGGAAGGGTGGATCCTGGCTTAAGTAGAAAAAGCAAGGGCGAGGAATGTGGATTTGTGGTAGAGTGTTTGCCTAACATGCATGAAACCCTGGGTTCCAGTCCTCAGTACCACATAAAAACAGAAAAAGCTGAAGTGGTGTTGTGGCTCAAGTGGTAGAGTGCTAGCCTTGTGCAAAAAACAGCTCAGAAACAGTGCTCACGCCTTGAGTTCAAGTCCCAGGACTGGCAATAAGTAAGTAAATTAATAAAAGCAAGCTGTTTGGATAACAATAAAAATGGTATAGTGTAGAGCTGAAATAGAGGTGATGGGAAACAAAGTAACTTGGCTACAAGCTACCACTTGGACCTGCGAAATTCAAGCAAAGTAAATATAATAATACTCTTACCATCTTACATTCTTATATTATTTCTTTTTTTGGGTCCGGTTGTGGAGCCTGAACTCTGGGCCTGGACGCTGTCCCTCAGCTCTTCAACTCAAGGCTAGCGCTCTACCACTTAAGCCACAGCGCCGCTTCTGGCTTTTTTCTTTTTGCTTATGTGGTGCTGAGGAATCGAACCCAGGACCTCATGCATGCAAGGCAAGCGCTCTACCACTGAGCCACCTTCCCAGCCCCTCTTATATTATTTCTTATTCTCCTCCTTTTCCTCTTCCTCCTCGTCTTCTTTCCTCTCCCTCCCTTCCTTCCTTCCATCCATCATTTCTCCCTCCCCCTACCCTTTCTCTCTTTCCTCTTTCTCTGTTTTTCCCTCCCTCCCTCCCCCTGCCTGCCTGCTGCCTTCCTTCCTTCCTTCCTTCCTTCCTTCCTTCCTTCCTTCCTTCCTTCCTTCCTTCCT